CACAGCGACGCCGCCACTAGATTGAACAGCATCTGTAAAACTGTTCTTGATGAAGGATCCCTCTTCGAAAAAGATCTTCTGCAGAGCCGGGACAGATGCAACAACAACGGCGCTGAGCATAGCCCACAGAGGTGGGTTCATGAACTCCCATAAGAAGTTGTAAAACTTGCCGGCGAAGCGGCTGAGGGCTGAGAGAATCGTCTTGAAGGGGGTCGGCAAACTGTTGTAGACTCTCGCGAAGAAGTTTGATGTCGATTGCTTAGCAGAGGTAACGGCGTTATTGAAGGCGTTCTTAATGCGGCTAGGGTAGCCCTTGACTCCCTCGGGGATTTCGGGTTCATCTGTATTACGAATGCGAGGAAAGGACGATATCTCATCGCCACTTCCGTCGAAAACGGGATGGTTGCCATTGAGGGGTGCGAGACCGTTGGTCTTCATCGGCTTCTTGGGAAGGTAGTCGTCGTCCTCGTCTTCGGTATCGGCGGGGGAGGCTCTGGATCTGCTGGCCACAGGGGTGCGACCGGCCGGCTCATAGTTGGACAGGTCATCACTCGAGTGACTGCGGGAAGTAGCCGTACCATCATCGTACTCGTTCAATAAGGGGGCGGTCTCGCGGTCTCCCGGGTACTGTCCCTCCTCGACGCGCTCGTCCTGGTACTCGGGGTACTTGTCCTTGGGAGCAAGCAGCACGTGGTAACCCCAGCTCCAGCGCACCAACTGACCGAGCTGCTGGAAGATCAAGAGGTATAGAATACCACGAGCACCGACCTCGTCATCGTTATCCCCGGGAATCTTGTCCCAGTGTAGCCCCTTGATAGTTTGCGACAGGGACAAGATCATGGAGATGGGCAGGGAGTTTGAGTTTCCGAAGACTCCCATGGCCGTGACAAAGTTAGTAGCGCGGCGGTTGAAGCCAAAGCCGCGGGCGACGCCGGTAGCGACGAGCCAGGAGACAAGAGTCTGAATGATGAAGATGATGGGGATTACGGCGAGATCGAGGAGCTTGTCAGCATTCAGTTGCGAAGCCAACTTGGTAAAGACTTGGGAACATTGTTAGTAAGGCTACTGGTAGGATATTGTCGTGCAGGCAAGGCGGAGTTAGAGACATACTAAGGCATGGCGTAAACAGCATGACATTGAGGTTGGCCAAGAACTTTTGCTTTTCAGCATCGAAGTGGCCAAGCCGAGCAATGATGTAGCCCGGCAAGCTCACACAAACGACCTCGAGGACAGCCTCGAAGACGAGAAGAACCAAGTTACCCATGGAGGGGTGTGAATCGTGAGGCTTCTTCATAGCCATGAGGGGCATTTCGTATACGTTTTGAGCCATATCTGCCAGTCGAAACGACGTCGGCGACGTCAAGTATTGTTGGTCCATTCTGGGCCGTGGATATTAAGAGAGAGCGCAAAGACGGAGACTGCGGATGTCGAGGTTGGACGAAGGTTACGGCGGAGATAGAAAGGGCTTCAGGACGGAGGTCCTGAGCGGCCAAAGCTGATGGAAGGTTCTTAAGAGGCTTGGCGCGGCGCGTTGACCTTGTAATCGGGCCCAAGCAGCACGATGTGAATGTTTCGGATAGTCGGCGATGGGACGGATCGCAACTGAAAGAGTAAGGGACGGTGTTGAAGTCGGTGATGGAGGTTTTCGTTGGATGTCGGAATTATCGGTGGTATGTATCGGGCCTCCACAGTAGAGTTCGGCCTTTTCCAGAAGTTTGCGACCAAGCTCTCATTCTCTGGCGGCAGGAGACATGAGGAAATGCGAAGGTAAGGTAGTATTAGTGTATTGGTGTCGCTGCTCGTCGTTTGGTAGAGGATCGTTGGGGAAAGGAAGCACGTGCAGGTATCAAGTTGATGGACAAGGTGTGGAAGGGAGAAAAGATGGAAGCAGGAAAGGGCAGAATCAAGGTGAAAGTTGATGGTCGAAGGACCAGGAGTTCTCAGCCACAGAAGGGAAGGCACGATGATATGAGGTTGGTCCGAGTGGGTAGATTGATAAAGGAAAGAAAAAATACGTAGTAGAGGTGAGCTAATCACGGCGCAAAAAAAATGGCGATGGCGGCGCACTTACTGGGCTCCAGCTGGACTGGGCTGCCCAGGCTGAGGTCTCCAGGGATGAGGGCGGCTCGCAGTGTGCCACTTCAGCGCGACAGCTCACTGTTTGGGAACAGCCCCAGGTTCCGTCACCTCCAGGTCCGTTTTTCCCGTTTTTGCCTGCTACGGATACTTTTACTGCCTGTCCTTGGCCGGTATTGAGGCCCAGACTCCCAGACCACCTGCAGACCGTATCAGTTACGCAGATGGTGCAGCGGCGCAACCTTGACACCTTCCCTTCCCCCCCAGTGGGGATGTGCAACACACTCAGCGACAAGCCGCAACCTGGCACACTGGCAGCCACCCACCCACTGCGTAGTGTAAGGCACTAAGGTAACGGACACCTCCCGCTAAGAAACACTTGGCGCCCAATCAGGAGCACGAATGAGCCCACGATGACGCCGGGCTCCCAGCTTCACCAGCAAGAGCATTTCTGGGCAGGTCTCCATTCAGTGACTCTGAGCAACTCATGCCGAAACTGAGGTGAGCTGCCACCACCCTGTCTGTTTGCTTCCTGCTGGGTCTTTCCAACCCGCAAAACTCTGCATGCAAGGCACCCCGGCTATTCTTGCTCCCTTTTACGCTTAGGTCCCCATCTTTCTCCCCTCCCTTCCATCTGTGCACTGCCATTTTCTATCAAGTTGTTCATCAAGTTAACTTCTTCCATTTCTTACAGACAATGCGAACCTACAAGATATTCGAGGGAGGCAGCCGTCGCGTTGTGTGTCTTGGTGGCAAAAAATACACCAAACGATTCAACAGGAGGCACACCATCAATCTGCACCCAGGAGCAAGCGCCTCACACAACAACCAACTGACCGACTGGCTCTTGGCACAACAGGCGCAGTGTATTACACGGCGCCTTGGCAATGGCGTCGAATCGAAATCGAAATTGCCCTGACGTCGCCAGCTCCCGTTGACATGACGGACCCGACGTGGCCCCTCGCCTTTGGCCTTCTTTCTTACAGGTACGGAGTACTTGCTGCGACACCTCCGACTGCGACGCAATCCGCCATTCAATCCATCCAGTCACCAGTCACCACCGTTTCTCTCTTCCGTCCCTTGCTTAGCTCTGGGAGTCTATCCCCTGCCGTTGGCCGTTTCCGGTTTTCCGCCCCCCCATCTTTCTTGATTCATCCGTTGTCTGATAATGTTGCACATCGGCACACGACCTTGCATCGCCAGACATTCACGACACTCTACACCGAGCACGGATACCTACCAGTGCGTTGTTTGAATGGTCCTCCATGAATCTATACTCCATACGGAGTATAGAGAGTATCCATTCGGGATGGGATGCCACACTTGACGATCCTTCTCCGAGAGACACCCGCACCCGCATCTACGGACACATCAGATCGTCTCCCGCGTTCCGCAGGTACGCATGCTGTACGTCAGGTTGCAGCGGTTGAGAAGCACACGTTCGTTTCGGGAACTTCACCTCTGTTAGCCAACCATTCAGCACATGGCGGAACCCAGTTCTTGATTCCCAACACACGATTATCTTGCCTGTTCCTCTTCTTTGAGATTCGGGACGCAAAAGAATACCTTATTAGCCACACTGCGGCTCAGACACCATCACCGAGAGCTTACCTGCTTCGCCATCTCATCTCTGCGCTGATAGTTCCCGTACCCTGGGCTGTGTGGTCGAGATTTAGTCCCGATACCGCCGCCAAGCTGCCTCGGAGCCCAACTATTCAAGGGTCTTGCCGGCAACTTAAGCTTCGTGGCCGCGGTCCGCAGCGACTTCAGGGAGGGAACTTTCGGCTGCGTTTGCCCTCCTACTTCGCCATTCTGCATGCACATCCGAAGTGAGGCTGTTGTATTCCCCATCACCCCGCCGTTTCTCCTCAACTTTGCCCATGATGGAAACGGTAGCTTTGAGCTTTACTAAACGTACGCACAGATGCTCCATCAAGGTAGATGCCTCCAGCTTCTCGACTACAGCTACCATATTCAGGTCACTACTCTCGGTCCATTGTCTAGTCGTGTCAGATATATGACGAGAAAAGATATCTCGAGCCTGAAGATCAGACTTCCACCGCGCCAAGTCGGGTTCAACACAAGCAGAGAACGTGAGGCTATGCAGAAACAGCTTGGTGCTACACTTTGGACGACTTTGTTATCAGATCGCCAAGACATATGCCACATTGCCCGTCGCTTCCAACCATACACGGTATCTCGTCGACATCTCAGCCAGCTTGAACATTCGATGCTACAGTCTTCCCGATTCTTCTGTGATGATGGTTGAGTACCCAATATGCCTCTTGGCAGGTTCTGCAATCTCCTCGAAGCCCTTTACTTGCAGGTGATTAGAAAGACAATCACTCGGCAGGTAGTTGTGCTATTGTCTTCAAGTAGTTCCCTCGTCTTCTTCCAGCTGATGAGTCTAAAGCCCGTCTCGGCATCCTTTGAAGCAAGCGACCGAGTGTTTTGCAGCAACAAGGGAAGTGTTTGCCGGGCTTTCACTCACACCATTCGTGCCTTTGTGAGCGAGACCAGGAGCTTCAGGTTGAAAGGCGATCTTCAAAGTCATGGTCTAAAATCATTGAGTACATCATGGATAACACCTAGGCAAAATGCTGTGGAACTGGCTCTTCCAAATGATGAAGAGCGGCTAGCAGTAGGCCGGTTGCTCATGTCCATTGAATATGTGTGTCTTTGCGGCGACGGTTTACTGCAGATGTCATTCTTCACAGGATCCCCTTACAATGGACCCAGGAGGGCGTCCTGAGGCCCACGATAATGGAATCGACCGGGCAGCCTTGAGTGCCCTCACCTTCTCGTCTCGTCGAGGACCATCGAAGAAACAAAATCTCTTCTCAAGAAGCTTCACCTTGCTATACAAATCCAATCAAGACACTCGCTACACCACACACCACAACGCGACTAACAGCAAGCCCAACATGAAGACCAACCAGATTGTCGACAAGAAGAAGAAGGAGGAGCAAGAGAAGAAGAATTTACAGATGAAGGATACAAAAAACGAGGGCAGCAAGGTTGCTGGCCCCTCTGGCAAAGTTGCCGGCTCTGCCATCGCACAGCACCAGCGTCAGCAGCACGAGAAGCCTCGTCGCGTCATCAAGCCTCGTCCTCAGCATGCGAGCTCCCTCGAGACCGCTGACGATGACGAGTATGACGACTGCTGGGACCCTTATTATTAGGACCCGCCGGCCAAGGACGACAAAGTTGTCGAGGAGGACTTTGTCTCCATGAAGAAGCCCGGCCCGTCTCGTTGAGGCTCGCATTCTGGACGGAAGGGGAGGAAGGAAGGAAGGCAGGAAAGGAAAGATCAGGCACGAGCCAAATTGGGCTGCGACAAGAGCTTCACCGTCTACATACGGAGGTCAGTACTGCCCACTTGGCATCGTCGCGGGCCTCGATATACTAATTTGAATATGTAGGTGACGAGAACCCTTTCGAGATTACGATGACCTCCTCCCCTTACATACATCTTCAGGAAAAGAACGAGGGCCAGTGCCCATTTCTATCAATCAGCGCGTCTTTCTTTTGTGTGACTTTTTCCCGTTCATGAAGGCTAGCCCCGGATACTCTGGCCCAGCTGCATTTCTTGTCCCTTTGTGTAGAGAAGCGTGAAGACTATTGACATCAAATAGGCGGCAGAGGTAGCTTATTTGCTAGTTTCTGGCTGCGGGCAGGGCGTTCATCCTCAGTAGCGTGGCCATACGAGATCACTTCTCCAGGCCGATGGCAGCGGTCAGGTCAGTAATCCACGAGTCGATGCCGACACTTAAACGCGAAGATGGGGTAGATACTCATCATCGGTACCGTAGGATGCGTTTGGCTGTTATGCTGGAATTACAGACAGCGCGGTAGATAGTAAATACCAACATCCAAAGGAAGCAATGAAAACATTCATATAATGAAGCTCATCTCAGTCCAAGATCGTCATTAATTGCTCTTAATAAAGTGCTCAGCTAGAATAGGCAGCTATGGATAGATAAAAACGTCGACCTTGCCGGCCAGCGCCGCAGCGTGAGGCAGCTTGCCCATCCCGAATTGCACGGCGGTTTTCATATCGAAATCACCCTGTTGAGCTAAGCGCGCGTGCCTGGGGCATATTGCGCGTACCGTGTAGTTAACAGTTGTGCTGTATCGTGTGATTTCCCTTGAAAGCCTGATCCCGTTGAGGTCGATATTTCGCAACTGTAAAGCCGGAAGAAAAAACCACCACATGGATAGATAAAATGCGGTCCTTCCTTCTATATCGCCAGCTATATTCGATTGGGCCGGCTATCTACCTAGATACCTCATGTTCATGTTCAGCTCCTCCTTCACTTGGTTGAGCGCAAGCCTATCCGTGATCCCTCACTTGAGCCTTTTGGACGTACATTGATATATTTCCAGAGTCCGAAGTATGTTGAGACTCGTAAAGCCCGTGATGTATGACGTGGAAGCGATTAGATCGGCGACTGGAATCTTCAACCTTGAAATGCCATGGCCAATCAAGGCGTTGAGCACCTCAAGGAATAGCCTATCTATGAGGAACCCAATCATCCACATCCAGCTGCTCCCACATCAGGTATAACCTAGCTCAACAAGCAAGAAGGTACTAAGTCCGAAGGTTTGTAAACGGGGCCGCTGGGTATGGGGAAGATATCGCCCGTGGGCATATTTGTATCTATTCGCATTCAATATCATTTGCCATCCTGGAAAGTAAATATTTCATCTGCGATGCTTCAGTATTCCCCACAAAGAACTCTCGATGTATAGATTGAGGAAAACCTCCCAAACCCAAATAGCAAAACCACTGCCAAGGTTTCAATGCCGCTAACAGTGAGGTTTTCCCCCGTACTACAAGAGATATCGTGATAACATGATTGTGGTGGTTGATGTTTCGAGATCTCATCACGTGCTAACATGTGACCTTGATGTAATGGACATGTTACTTGGAGGATAAATAAGAGTTACGTCTACAACAAATACGTCTACAACTCGCATTACATCAACTACCGGAATAATTGATCACACATCTCGAAAGGAATTGATGAACGAGTGATGTACACAAAATTGGATGCATGATAACAATCAGCATCCCATCATGCGCCCGAGATGCGCAACATTACGGTGTTGTTCGACATCGAGATTATCGGAGCTGTCAGCAGAGCTTAGGAGCTTACACACACTTGCACCAAAGGAGGTGATCGACAAGCGGCGTGGGGGAAAAGAGTCACACTGGACAAGACTGGAAAAGACATCAAAGTGAAACAGATGACAGATGTGGAGAATCGAGGATGATCTCTACGGTACTTGTGGTGCTTGTGGCACGACGGATGAGCAGAGTGCAGGTGGCGAAACCATGTGGCTGATGACGACAGACGTTCATCCTTTTCGCTCTGCTCTCCCCGGTTTAGATATCGACAAAGTCAATAATCCCAACAAGACGATTACAAATTTTCATAGAGACGTGGAGTTGATAGGAGATACGGTCGGCAATTGCAACATCTCGGAGGCCGCTTGCCATTGAGTTTGCGCTTCTCCTTAATTCCGCAGGGCCTTCCCTGGCGAGCTGAACTACAATCTACCATGGGATACTCTGTTTTGACAGCATTTGCCACTGTCGACGACCATCGGCGAGAGCTCCGGTCGACTGCGCAACGGGGTTGGACCGGGGTGCGCGGCGTCCAGCGCTGGCTGGCCGCTGCTCTGGCTGTGTCCCCCTCAAGAGGTAGATCTTTTTGGAGGGTACCATTTTCCCTTGGGCATCAAAACACTAAAAAGTCAGAGGACCCTTGAAATACTTCGACTGCGTGGACCGTTAGACTTTGAAACTGCATATTTTCCCCGGGGGCTGTGAGGGCGATGATCGCGGGTAGGCCGTAGCGAGTGGCGGCTGTGGATGAGATCAGGAAACGTGCCCAGAGTCTGGATTCTTTTTCGTTTACCGTATTCTAGATTCCGTATTCCAGATCTCGCAGATCGGGCTATGGGATTTTGCTCGCAAATATTTTGTGTCTCCGCGATCACGCCCGCCCAAGTCGCGATGAGTTTGAAATGCTCAACCGTCCCGACTGATGACGCTTTACCTAAACAATCAAGGTACCTAGATACCTTGGCAATCAAATTGCAACATGAAGACGTCAGCGAATCGCATAGACGCGGGCGAGGTTCCGTTCGAACTGCGATTGGACAGAACACGCGGAGAGGAATTTTGAACCTAGATGATGTCAGGCGGAGGTAATCGTCCGCTGGTGTGCTGATAAGATAAGACGCCGAAAGATAGGTACCTCAGCTCAGGAAAAGCTGCCTTGTTCCATCGGGGAAAGAAAATGTACGTACCCTAAGGTACGGTACGAATATTCTGGACGAGGGGAGAAAACGTCATCAGTCAATGGGAAATCGTCCCTCTGGCACACCGTTTCTTACATGAATTCCTAATCCCCAGTGCATAGCGATGATGCAAAGCCCATTTCGACCTTCTTTCGGAAAATCATCTGATGGTACCTATCGCCTACAATCCTAGACCTTTCGAGGTTAGCAGCCTGCAAACTATGCGTACTGTGACCCGTCCGTCCCCGATTCACGATGCATCGTTGAGAGGTGCTTCAACGACGAGAATTGCGGTGGGGGTTGAACCTCACCAGGAGACACCGGATGGGCTAAGTCGTCAGTAGCGCGAGTGTAGTGAGCCTCCCACGAGAAATCAAGCTCATCCGTTCAAAAACTTCAAGCCACAAGTTTCCTCAGTCCATCGTTGGCGTTGCTCTCTACAACCCGTGGAACTCCCCTCTTGTCCATCAACGTCATCACTCCTCAGTGACGACCCCCATAGCAAATTGGCGAATTGCGAGACGCCGGAAGAGGGGGGCAGGATCAGTGGCCGGGGTCTGGTTGACACTGGCGCTGAGGGGCCCCTCGCTATCAAACTTGTCAAAGGCAAGCATTCTCCAATCTCCATTCTCCAACAGAGACCTACCAAGCGCAGAACAGAGCCTAGTCCTGCCCTTTCGAATGACTTTTATCAAGACGGCTCGATAATTGGTCGACGAGGTCGAGGATGCCATGCGCAAATTCAGATGGCCGCTGCTTCGGCACGGTACTTTGCGGTCTAAGAGACTAGCGTCAACGGGGGAATATGCAGCTTTCATCTTAGACTGCCCGTCGTCGTCCTTCCTGGCGGGTGCTTCGACCGCATGACGGTGCCGCCCTCGCCAATCGTTTGCTTTGCCTTCAACAGGCAAGCCCTCCGCCGGGCGCCAGAAGTCATACCCGATGCGTCCCTATGTAATGTGCTCTGTTTGTGGGGGCTGGATCGTGAGAGGTGTCGAGAAAAAAGTGCAGCTGTTGTTGCGGTGTAAGACAGAAACAGTCTAGTCGTCCGTTGCTTGTGTCTGGGTTTCGTATGCTTGGTGGCTACTATCGCTTGGTTGAGGTAGGGGTCTGTAGACCGGCTCGGTTCCGAGTTGCGAGTTACATCACTCTGGCCGTTGCATGTGCTATTTTCAGAAACATCGCGACGAGGTTAGCAGGTTTCCGCAAGGTGACATGAGCGTTGTGATTCTCACTCTCGAGGTACAATAGCTGGCTCAGTCATTCCCGTCACTGGAGCGAGTATCCTTAGCAGATGGAGCATAATGCATGGAGCACATATGCAGGCGCGTCCACCGTCGAACCGTCGAGAGGTGATGTGCGGGAAAATCTTGCTGATGGTCCCTCCTATGATCACTGAAGAGCCACAGAGCCTGCTTTTGGGGTTCGAGTGGCTCCATGCTCCTGTTCCCCTTGCGACAGCCGAGCCACACAAGTGTCCGGGTGTTGGCTGCCGTCGTAGACGCAGGACATCTCATCGTGTGGTGCAGTGTAAGGTAGTCGAGCTGTCGCAATGGTGAGATCTGACTGAGGATGCGTGGGTAGCTCTTGGAAAACGATTGGAGTGGACCGTTGTCACCGAATGCACGATGTCCTGGAAGAAGCCGGGAGGAAGTTGGTTAGACTGGGCGGTGATGCAGGTGGCGGTGCTCTCCAAGGGACAGACGCTGCATATGCGGATGCGCATATCGTCCAGGGCTCACGAAGTCAGGGCAGGGCGGATGGATGCCTTTCCTTCATTCTTGGGACTCGGGAGTGCTGTGAGGCTTGAGAGAGAACTTGTTGCACACTGGGAAGGCTTGGTATGTGGTTTTTGTTTCTTTTTGCGGTGCAT